TATCGATAAATCAACGTTATTAAATATTTTATTGATAGACAAAGTACATTAGTTGCATTACAAAAAGAGTTACCAGAGTAGTACAGTTACATATCTTTTCAGCAATAGCATTGTCATTACCGATAAATTATATATTTCATGCATATATAGAAAGCATATCAGTTTATCTCCTTTTGCTTGCTTGCATCAGTAGATCAAATAAAATAGTAAAATTTCCTTTATAATAATGCTATGAATAGTAATTATAATGAGTATATGGGAGTTAGAGCTATGGGAAACTAAAACTACAAGAAAATGTCAATAAAAATAATAAAAATCTGATACATTTCAGGGAATAAAAATTCCAACTCCATATAAAGATGGCAATAAATTCTCTAATGCCCAGCATAGGCAGTAGTGGTAAAGCAAGAACATATTATGGTAAGTATTAGATTTAAGGCGTGATGTTTGTGTTGGGGTCGCTGCTGGTCAACCTTCTCATCACTGACAAACAAAACATTTAAAATTATTAAAAAAATTAAAAATATATTTAATTTAACGACAAAATAATAAAATCACCTAAAAGTAATTAGTCAGGAGTAAGACATACACTGTACTGTACATATATTAATTTTTTGGTTTCTTTAAAAAAATGCTCCTTACTGTATTAGTAACCATAATTTCAATAGGGTATATAAACCTACCTAACTGTATATCACAACCAAATATTCTTAAAATGATTAAAATCTGTCAACTATGCTGAGGAAGATTTACTTTTAAAAGATTATTCAAATGTTTTCTTCTAGTATTATCTGGTAATTAAACACCAGCACAACAAACTACACAATAATTGTAATTCAACAATCAAATCTAAAATATTTTTTCATACGAATTTCTAAACCAATTCTCCATCAGTTAGTTTTCTTGACCCCTGGCTAACCTTTTATGAGTTCCTATTTTCACCATTTACATGTACTGTATATAAACAATGGAAGGAGCACACGTATAAATCTTGCATGTCATGGGTATGATGATGCCCAGAGACAGACCAAGTCTATCGAAGAAGACAGCACTAACAGCTGCAGTAAGAGCCCACCGGGGGCCTGTCTGCTCACATGCTGTACTTATAAAGGCTAATAAAAACTTGGTTACCAGCAACTCCCTCACACAACCTCACATATATAATATGTAAAACTGAACAGAAATTTGTACACATAATAAAGTATTGCCAATTAGCTTTGGTAAACCTAAACCCTGCACAGATATAATGCTTCTATATCAAGAAATTTTTTAAAGAAAATAAAGGACTACATGCAAAGCAAATATAATATATATAATAATCTCCTTCATAGAAATAACACTATAAACTCTTAGTGACTTCATGAAACACTGACCACGGAAAGATAATAATTGGCTGAATGACAGCTGGCATCTTGACCGAGACAACTCCAAGTCCAACACCAGACACAGTAATGCCACTGATGGCTTCAGTGGCAATACAGCCCCCTTGTGCTCAGAAAAATGCACACCATAAAATATCTTTAATGTGATTTCCTCTCACTGTGGTACTGGAAGAATAAAGTAACAAATTCTGTAGCTTAAAATATCTAATTTCTGTCTGACGTTTGGAGTTGGACCAGACTCGGACAAACTTACACCTGACATCACAGCTAAATGAATGTATCACAAGCTAAAGAGGTTACAAAAGAAAATATTGGCCGCAGCCTAACACAAGCAAAGACAACTCTGACCTGTGGTCAAGACAAAAGGAGCCCAGATTCCCTCCAAGGCAGCTGCATCAACTCACAGTATAACAACCATCAAAGCACTTCTTTTAATTTCCACCAAGAAGGAAATATGTTCACTTATAACATGAGGATTAGATAAATTCCAAATACAATTTAATCAGAGAATATGACAGTTTTGAATAAAAAGAAGTGCAAGGATGCCTCAAATATTTCCAACACACCTAAAGTTCACCAAATACATCTGGTTTCTGAAATTTATTTATGCTAATTTCAAAGTAAAAAAGTATGAAATTTGCATAAACAGATATTTGTTTGACATATTAAACCATACCGAATTCTTACATTGAGAATAACAGAGGCATTGGAGTGAAATTGGTGTGGTTGATGTCACTATAAGGCTGAGGGATGATATGCCACAACCTACGCATCTCAACCTTACTGGCTGGTGTGGGCAAATCACTGCTGTCTTGCCACCACCCAGAGAAAACTTTGACACTCAGGGAAGAACTCACCACAATGGTTTGGGTTACTCCCCGCCACAGCCCTTGTGGGGTCAAGGCTAACAGAACAAGCACCCAATTTATGACTGACTAATAGCATAACTTCTATCAGAAATTGCAATTGACAATAGCCAAAAATGTGATTATTTAACACTGAAATTATTGTACTTGGTATTCCTGCAGCAAATTTAAAGTTATGACATCTTTTAACTTGGGAAGAGGAAATATATCATCTTAAAAAATGTAAATATAAATGGGGCACTTTTCCAAGGAGCCACACAAGACCCTGCTGCTGTAGCGAGGATCATGTCCCACATACCGCAGGGAGAGACAATATTGTGTTTACAGTTTTCCTGAATTATCTGTGGGGCCTGAACAAAGTAACGAGACGTTGAGGGATAACTTGGATTTGTGCCTACACACCACATTTGGCACAAGATATAGTTCATAAGGGGGATGCACCACCCTATAACCTAAGGCTGATTCACAGGGGAATTCAAGATGAAGGAGGCTCTCAATGCTGCACCTTTAGGGGTTGCTTGTATGAATGCTAACTAAGCAAAGACCCGTACAGCAAATCTCAGTCATCATAGCCTGCAGGAGTGTAATTGACAATAAATGTATATATGTATGTATAAATGTATGTATGTACATGTGTGGTGCTCTCTGTATGTGAGTGTACGATACATGTAGTGCAAACAAATGCAAAACTCAAGCCTCAGTGTAAAATAAACTTTAATATACTGTTCAACTTCATGCACTAAAACCCCCAAGTTCCATCAGCTAAGTACAACACTGAGTACCTCCTTACCCAGCTCCCTTCACTTCTACTATTTGCTCTCTGTCCCTTCATAACCCTGCAAAAATTTAAGAGTGGCCAAACTCAATATATAATATCACTATAAAAGTATAATTTTTTTTCAATACAGACTTTCTCACTAAGCCAATGAAGTATATTTCAGCAAGCTTATGATAGGACAGAGGTTGTATGGCAACCAATGATGCACCGTATACGTTCTCCAGACCGTTTGATTCAGTCCTGAAATGATTACTTAATGGTACTATATGACATGTTAAAAACTCCGGCAAAATTGCAGCATCTGCCGAGAAAACATGTGGTAATACTAAAGGCAGATCTTATTTCCACGGTTGAAAATTAAAGACTATATTTAACAGACACACAGGTTCCATGACTTTCTCTCTCTACTAACACTAACCAATGTTTTATAAACATTCTGATGACCACCAAAAATTCCATCACCCACTACATGTCCTGATAATTTCATATACATATTCATCTTCTGTACACAAGTGCAAAAGACTTACAAGAACTTAGTTTGGTCTCATTGGTTGGTGGCAGCACAGAAAAAATGTGCACTTTCTTTACATATGTCTTTTAAACATGGCCCTAAAAAATATCAGGTAATTAAGTAAAATTGTCATGTATGGCAGAGCGGACCCCACAGTCAATTGTCCCCTAAAAAGAAACTACTCGCAATAAACACACACGGCAGACACACTCAAATAATCTCAGAGGCCATAATCCATCTCTACAAACACAGGCATGCAAAACTCCTCAAACAAGAAGCCTCCTCAGAGGCTGCCACTATATGTGATTGAATGATATATATGAATACTATCAGTTCTACACACTATAATCTTACTAATTATATAAAGTAATAAAGAGGCATTGCATATGCAGTTTCATTTTAGTTCTTAAAGTCTTACAGGTACTAGGGGTTCTAAAATTTTTGCACAGTAGAGGTCAAAAACCTTAAATTAAGAAAAAAAAATGTTCAAGTTAAGACAGGAAAGACACTTAGAAGGTGAAACCAGCAAATTGCATCCAAAATGTGTCGCGGTCAGTTGTTCAGAGCCTTGGGGGACCCGTCTCATACATCAACAACTCGAACATTGGGGCATCAATGATGCTGGGCACTCAACACCATGTGCAGCTGATAAGCATTAAGCTATTTGCTTATAAAATTCCTGGATATGTTGGTTGTATATATTAAGGAACCTTGAGGAAGCCAATAATGATGAAAGGTAGTGATCTACATTCTACTTCTGTCTTCAGAACAAAAGCATTAAATGGAAAATAGTATTTATTCTACATATTATACAATATGTTTTTGATTATGATAAGAAATGGAGTAATAAAAAAATGACAAGTGCTATCTTAAGGGGAATCTGGGTGAACAGCCCCCACAGTGGGAGCAAAGTACCAACAGATTTAATCAAACAATTAGAAACTAAAAGCCAAAGTTGAAGCAGTGTGACAAAAACTGGATTTTCAAGTTTCAAGAAATCAAATTCCTTGGTATTTTATATAAACTAATGTTTACACTGTAGTTCTACTTTATTCTAAGTTCAATTATGTGTCACTACTGTGTTTTATCGACTGGTAGACGGAGTGTTGATGAGGATCAACTTTCCCTGAGTTGGAGCGGGTAGCCGAGCCCTACTGGGCCTCCCCTATAAGGATGTACCGACCTTGTCACTAACCCAATGTGTAAAGTCGTGGAAGCACCAACCCAATCATGCTCTCAGGTTCAAATTCTTCGTTCAAGAAGAAGCTACTGTACAGTATTTCACAATTTCATAGTTTATATATACATATATATATATATATCTTGATAAAATCACGTTTTCATTGTGGATCTACATGATATATATATATATATATATATATATATATATATATATATATATATATATATATATATATATATATATATATATATATATATATATATATATATATATATGTGTGTGTGTGTGTGTGTGTGTGTGTGTGTGTGTGTGTGTGTGTAAATTCCTAAAATATTAAATAATGTGATGTACTGAAACTTCTTCAATGAAGCATGTCAAAGATTTTGCCTGGGAGTCTCTCTCCATCACTGCTGGCACAGACTCATCAAAACAGTGAGGTCTGGGACCTGTGCATTCACAACTAAACACTTGTCAACTCTTAATCATTCTTTCTAAAGCCATCAGATCAAATACCCTTAAGCAAATATGAACCATAACCATGAATTCTAGATGGCAATGCAGCAAGCTTACTTCTCATTCTGTGTATTTAAGAAGAAAGCTTGAGTCATCTATACCTTATATTCAAGTAACTGGTCATGGTAAAAAGCTTGCAGGGTCTATTAAAGCTGTTTCCAGGAGCTGAGAAAGCTGTCCTGTTCACTAACGCTGAAGAGTCTCTCACAACAAACTATATACAGTCTAATCTCGCTTGTTCGACCGAATATCTTTTTGAAAATATTCATATTGAAAAGCTAGAAATATTGGAGGTAAGGCTCCAAATTTGTGTTAAGACAGTGGGCAAGAATATTGGCAACAATGTAAGGGCAACATTTATGAACTGCCATCAATATTCAAATTTCTCCAGCTCTTTACACAACACCTAAAACCAACTGATGCCAACCACTAGTGTGTGAATACTCATTTATTCTCTCCTTCAACATATTGAAAACAAAGGTGCTCTCAAATAGAATGTAAGAAAGATGTTGGAGGCATCACAACAGATGGCAAAAGAATCAGAAGATTAAAGAATGTATCATAGCATTTAAATTATTATTTTTTCTCCAGAAAACCCTTACTAAGCAGTGGAACAAAAGGATGTGGAAGTCTTGCTGCAACATTTATTTTGCAATTTTATAGAGGCTTATGAATGATCGGTTCACATAGCTGAATAAGAATTGTAGTAGACCACTTCTTCAGAGATGTATTTACTCAGTATTCCTTAGAGTTTGCCGAACAAACGATGATTGACTTTTTTACCCTTTAACATCTGCTGCAGCATTCTACCACCTGAACGTCTGACCACCACAACCAGTATCACCACAACTTGATGCCGTTTCATTATTTATATAATTTGTGGCGTGATTTGCTATTTTGGGCCATATGAAAAACAGTGAAATCATAAAATACCAACCTAGCTGTCTCTGGCCTCTTTCCATTTTACAATAACATTTTCAATGAGCTTAGAAGAGACACCAAGGTTGAGCTTTAAGAGATTTCACAGTGCATTTAAGCTCATCACTTCACACTTAAACTTGTTTCTGGAGACTCTTGTGGAAGAGCTTTTGATTCTGCCTCATGGAGATGTTCATGTTCACCCCCTTTCTCTACTTCCTCTCCTTCTCCCCCCTTTTCCCCTACTTCTTCACACTCTACTCCAATTTCTGCTTCAGTTTCTTTTAGTACTGCTTCTCTTTCTTTTGCATCTGCTTCTGCCCGAGCCTTGCTACTCTTGAACCTTTTGATTTCTTCCTCCTTGTGCCACTCATCCTCATTATAGAGAGACTCCTGGTTGTTGTAACTGGGAGAATATGGCTCCTCTTTTGGTTCACACAGTTGAACTATTGGCTCAAGATTAGGTCCATCTGTTCCATCCTCTGCTTCTTCTATCCCATCTTCTTCATCTTCCTCTTCCTCTTCTTCTTCTTCCATTTCATCATCCTCTGCTCCTTCCCCTCCTTCAGATTTCATTAAATACTTTGATTCTCTAAGAATCTTGATTTTAAGGCTCTTGATGGGGTGACGTTTCTTTTTATGAGTCTTCAAGCAACGTTTTAGTCTAAACATTGCCGGACATTCGTCACATTTGATTCTACGCCTTCCCTGACCCGGGCCCCTGCCGTGCATTCTTTGTATGTGAGTCTTCAAGTTTGATCTCTGTGCAAATCCAGCTCCACAGTGGTCACATTCAAAAGGGCGATCGCCTGTATGTAGTTTCATGTGGATTCGAAGGTTGCTCATCATTGTAAATTTTGCACCACATTCAAGACAATTGTAAGGTTTGATAGCAGTTGGGTTTTTCTTACGACCTCTCCTTGTTGGTGTGCCCCCCTCTCCACTGTGCACCCTATTTTTATGAGCCTTAAGGTTTGATTTTTGTGTGAATGCCTTGTCACACTGATCACACTTGTGAGGTCTTTCACCAGTGTGTGTCACAGCATGGGTTTTCAAATTAGCTATCTGTCTAAATGCTGCATCACATTGATCACATTTATATGGCCTTTCGTCAGAATGTATTTTTTGATGTGTTTTTAGTGTCGAGAGTTGAGTAAAGCACGACTTGCACTGTGGGCACTGATAAGGTCTCTCACCTGTATGGATTCTTCTGTGAGCTCTAAGGTTGCCCTGCTGAGTGAATTTTGAACCACATATTTCACAGGTAAATGGCTTCTCCCCTGTGTGTCGCCACATGTGGTTCTTTAACTGAGTGCTATTCTTGAATATTTTTTCACACTCATTACATTTGTGTACTACTGGAATACGAGGTGGTTTTGGTTCTTTAGGTTTTTTGGGTTTGGGCGGCTTTGGAGCTGTTGGCATTGGGGGCTCATGTCCTATCAGTGAAGAAGGATAATCCTGACCAAAAGGTTTGATATCGAGGTATGGCTTCACTTCCATGTCATCTTCCATCCTCATTCCATCTCGGTGATCTCTGTCTTGGCCGTCACTCATGTACTGGTTGAACTGAGCATTATAATGGCCTGTGTAGAATTGGTGTTGTGAAGGTGCAGGGGTGCCAGAGTGATCAGGCATGGAAGATATAGATGAGACAGGAGTTGGTGGACCAAGACTGTTATGACTTAAGTCTCCTCGATAAAGAGATTCGGAGTAACGAGGAGACTCGACTCGCATTGGATGCGGAGACTCTGACATCATTCGATGGGTTAAGGCATCGTAATGTGAGCGCATAGGAGGCATGGGCGACTCTGGGGGTTGTAGAGTGTTCATTCTCACGCTACTTGTGTTGTTCGTATTGTCGTGACTAATGCGAAGGTTCTCTGGCATAACCTGGTGTGAGGGTTCAGTCACACAAAGATTTTCTGGGACCATGCGAGATGCTTCAGATGTCACCCTGAGATTCTCTGGCATCATGGGATGAGTTTGAGGAGTCTCCGGGCCTAAACGAAGATGATGTGTGTCTGCTCCAAGTCGCCCATGTTGATTACTCTCAACTCCCAGATGATGATGCTGCGGGGTATCAGAGCCCATGCGGATATGCTGCTGAGAAGATTCTCCCCCTGCTCGTAGATGCTGAGAAACTTCAACGCCTAATCGTATATGTTGGGATGTTGCAGTTCCTGCTCTGAGATGTTGAGGAGTTTCTGAACCAAGTCGTATATGTTGAGGAGTTTCTGCACTAATTCGAAGATGCTGCGGAGTTTCTGCCCCAATTCGCATATGTTGAGGAGTTTCTGCCCCAATTCGAAGATGCTGCGGAGTTTCTGCCCCAATTCGCATATGTTGAGTTTCTATCCCAACTCGTAAATGTTGAGGAGTTTCTGCCCCAACTCGTAAATGTTGAGGAGTTTCTGCCCCAACTCGTAAATGTTGAGGAGTTTCTGCCCCAATTCGTAAATGTTGAGGAGTTTCTGCCCCAATACGTAGATGATGTGAAGTATCTGTCCCTAATCTAATGTGTTGAGGAGTTTCTGACCTTCCTTGGAGATGTTGGGGAGTTTCTGCTCTGACCTGGACATGCTGTGGAGTTTCAGCCCCTACCCGGAGATGTTGAGGAGTTTCAGCCCCTACCCGGAGATGTTGAGGAGTTTCAGCCCCTATTCGGAGATGTTGAGGAGTTTCAGCCCCTACCCGGAGATGTTGAGGAGTTTCTGCTCCTACTCTGAGATGTTGAGGAGTTTCAGCCCCTATTCGGAGATGTTGAGGAGTTTCAGCCCCTATTCGGAGATGTTGAGGAGTTTCAGCCCCTATTCGGAGATGTAGAGGAGTTTCTGCTCCTACTCGTATGTGTTGAGGAGTTTCCGCTCCAACTCGAACATGCTGGGGAGTTTCTGCCCTCACCTGGAGATGCTGGGGAGTGTCTGCCCTCACTTGGAGATGTTGAGGAGTTTCTGCTCCTACACGCAAGTTTTCTGGCATTACACGTTGGTTAGTTAAATCTGTTCCATATCTTAATGAATCAGAACGAATATTATCACTTGAGCTGTAGCGAAGGTTTTCAGATAACATTCTCTGGTCAGTTGGTGACCTTAAGTTTTCTTGCATAGCTCTCTGAGAAGGATTTAAGTAATCTCTGAGACTCTCCTGGACCATACGCTGTGCATCTGCATGACTACGGATGGACTCCTGCACAGTACGCTGAGGGGGTTCTGAAGGGGGCCTCAAGGGATCAGCCATTATACCACGATACGCCGCCTCAGGACTTCTAACAGACTCAGACACTGAAGGACGTAAAGCCTCGGCAACTAGTCGCTGAGGATCTGATTGCAGTCTTTGTAGGTCTGACACAAGACGCTGTGCATTGGAAGCTATCTGTTGAAGGTTAGATTCTTGCGCTCTCTGAATATCTAAAGGATTCCTATAGGAGTCACTAGGAGCCCGCTGATATGGGTCTAAATTTTGTTCTTCTGTTCGCTGCAACTCTGACCTTATTCGCTGAAAATCTGACGGCAGTCGCTGAGGATCACTCGACTGTCTATAGGGATCTGCTGACATCCTCTGACTATCGATCCCATACCGATTTTGATCTAATGACTCTGCTGCTAGCCTATAGGACTCTGGAAGATACCTGTGTGCCTCTGGAGGAGCCCCAGTCATAAATTTTGACCCTGGAAATATCATATTATGTCCCAGAGCCATAAGTTGAGCACTCTGAGACATTATACTTGGACTAGGGCTAGATATGCTGGGATAGGGGGCTGGGATTTGTTGGCTGGGGACGGATGACGGGTGTGGAAACATTGCTCTTCCATCTAATGCACCAGCGGGTGTACTGCTGCGACTTCCACTCTGCATCTGAGGATAAGAAATATTGTTAGCACATAAAGAAATAATTTCATTTAATCTTTTTATAAACAATAACTCAAGTTTACAACATTAATTATCATACAGGAGCAAGAAAACAGCACAGGTACATTTGAACAGCAATTATTTTGAATTAAACTTGATGATCATGGAAACCCATAATACAATATACCCAAACTGGTATATCCTGTATTCTGAAAATGTGAAAGGAATATATATTTCCTGTACAGGGGATTCCCGGGTTACGAACGGGTTCCGTTCCTGAGGACGTTCGTAAGTTGGATTCGTACGTAAGTCAGAACACATGCTATATGCATGCTGTACTTACAAAACAATGTTTAAAATCCCACTATATCATGGCCGAAAAATCACTTAATTTAAGACAAAATAAAAAATAGAATGATAAAATACAGTAAATGAAAGTATAAAATAAGTCATCAGGAAAATAAAATATTGTACTGTAAATTTCAAATTTAACCTCATTCGTAACAGCGGGCGTTTGTAGGTCACGTTTGTAAGTTGGGGACCCCCTGTAAAGTAAAACTCCCATAATTCGTACTCCTCTAATTCAAAATCACTCACAATTCGTAATGTTTAGCCGTTATGAAATGTTACAAAATTTGTAATTGCAGGTAAAATTTTGAAATATGAGACATTTACGAATATGTATGACGCACATGTCGCCATATGATGCAACCACCTGCCTCAGTGTAAACAAGTACAGTATACGGGTGTTGGACCTGTCAGACAATTGGTCAAGGTCTACAGTCTACCATGCAAGCTTTTCCACTTGTTTTTTCATCATTGCCCAGTGTTTGAGCCATTATGTCTGATATCCCTAAATCTGGTACAGTACTGAACTTAGAAATATTAAAATTTTTGATAGACCAGATAGCAGGAAAGTACCGTTTTGTTTGTTTGTACCCCGAGAGGTGTCCCTCATAATTCGCTAAAATCTCGTAATTCTTAAGGGTTAGAGTCGTTATTATTTTGAATTATGGGGATTTTACTGTATTTGTTGAAGAAGACAGAGAACAGGAAAGTATAAGGGAGTTGTGTTAAAAGTATTCTGAGTGTATTAGTGGATAGGAGAAGTTCTTTATGGTACAGTATAACCAAATACAGTAGCTGGCAGAAGGAATGATTGTTCCCAAACCATCTGTAAGATTGAGAGGACATCAATTTCAAAAGAACACATAAGACTGAGTATGGTATACAATACAAAATATGAAGAAAGATCTGCAAAAATTAAGAGAATTGGTTAGGTAAAGAAAGATGAAGAGAAAGAGATATGTAGGTAAAGAAGAAAATGGTTAAAGTACAATTCTGTATAGTTATCATATGACAAATGACAGGTTGCCCATGATTATATTTCCTTCAATGTCACCAAGGATATGTTTGATCAAAATGAAAAAAATACATGTATTGTACTGTGCCAGAGATAAAAAAGGTAATCTTGCCACTTCATTTGGAACCATTGGATTTTGTCACAGGAAGTTTCTGAAAACTTATCAACTAGTTTTCAGATACTGTACTGTATACGGTAGCAAGTGTAATGAGGAAAAAACAATATCAATATAGGGAGAGTAATTCTAAATTTTCTCAAGTCAATGATTGTTCCATGACTACTTTGGGAAGCAATGACCTTCATCTTAAAATATCATTAAAATGAATTGAATACAGTACACACTTGTTAAATGACCTTCTCCCCTTTTCTTGTTATTATATATCATATATGTTCCACTTATGACACCTGTATATTATTTGTCAATCAAGTGACCCATTCCAAATTTCAGTATGTTTCAATATCAATATAACTTTTATCATTTCTGTTGGCTGTATATTTTCAGCCCTTTGGCTGCCATGTTTTTCAATAAAATAATTAATTACAATATTATTATTACATACGGTACACACACACACACACACACACTGTACACATATACATGACTGGTCTACAGTGATCTTCATTAACTATTATTACTGTGCTGACAAATTTGTGTTACTAATATTCCATTAATATTTAAGGTATCCTCATTAACTTTTATTTACTTAAATTGTTTTATGAGATTATAATCATATTTTTCCTTCTTCTGAAGTTTTCCATCTACATCCTTTTATCCACTAACTGAATACTGTATGACCAACTCTCTTCCTTCTTCTCATGCTCAATATCCTGTGTATATTGCTGCTAAGATGCTGCTTACCCTGTTTATGCTAAAGCATTCATGAATTTTTTTACATTAAAACAAAAAAGAGCATATAGGATCTTCTAAAGCATATACCATTTATAAACTTCTAATTCACTTCTGCTTCATAATTTAAAGCAAATTATCCCTTATGCGACAGATGTCTTATCTGTCCAAACACTGTGATACTAAACATTACCATAGCACAGTAGGATCCAATATAAGCCTCACTAACTGAGCTGTTAAACAAAATTCATCTACCCATCCTTCATGAAATCCTAAAAGTTTTTCTTTAATTACTTTTGTGACTAGCCCAATACTGTACAACTTCAAACAATGTTAAGACAGCAAAATGAAGCATAAAGAGGATTCTTTGTTGGACCTCTTGTGAACTCACAGTACTGTATTATCTTCATGTATGTTTCTATACCTGAAATAGACATTTTCTAATTTTCGCTCTAGGAACCCTCTACTAGTCCAAGGTACTTTCTTAGGAATCAAAATGGCCCCGACAATCTAGGCTAAGCTTTTAGGACTAAGGTCAAGATAGTAAAGTGCTTTCTGTCTGGTTTATATTGGGTATTTTCCAGAGGAAGTTTAGGAAATTCATAAGTGAGTTGCAGTAGAGCATAAGCTGGCTTCTTCACGAATCAATATTAATCTCTAGACATTGTCTCATCACCATGGGGTTCCTGTAGTAGTCCCATTAAACAAGTGATTGGGTCCTGGGATTAGTGCAGCTACAAGCTGAGGACAGCACTCTCATGTAGATAACATTCTGACTTGGCCAACCCAAGTACAGTACACTCAAATGAGGTAAAACCTTTGAGACAAACTATTCTTGTTTTATGTCCTGGGTGGCAATGAGGCAATTAAAATTATTCCATCCTCCATAGATGACCTGAGTACCTGCTACTTTTGTTTGCAGTAGCACTACAGTATTTCAGAGTTTGTGCAGCTATGAGGAGATTAAGATTGGTTTCTTTATGTCTCTTACTGCAACTGACTTTAAATTACTAAAGTAGGAAAGTTCTCTTGGAAACCATTGGTACATCACACTTCCCTTTCTAACTGGCTATAATTTACATACAATAATTGTTCCATCCACATATAAGGTTACAGAGGATTAATTCTGAAATCTCGTTCAAACAGTCTGGACCACGTAACTCAGTAAACCATCCTCCTGCCCTACAGGTGCTAAAGTCAGCTGTATCTGACGAGATTTTTCTGACTAACGTTTTTCTAGTAAACAAGCATACATGGACCAGAGCATCTGGTGCTTGTGAATGGCATGAAAACTCTCAAACTATCTCCATTTTGAGGGTATTGTACCTTCCTTCCAAGTGGGTATCCTGCAGGAGCACATAAACAGGTGAAGGGTTAAGTAATTAAAAAAATTTTGATCTGTCATTAGCCAAGGCCCTGGGATTTCAACCTGAAGGTGTGTTGGTTATACGGAGTTTCCCAAGACATAAATAAGGTTATAAAAGAAAGTGTTCACTATGACAAATACATCATTTTTAAGTGTACTGTATTGTCTTATAACACTCTGGTTAATAATCAAGGAGAAAGAAGTCACCACAAAAACTTTAAATATCAAAGTTTTATTGAAGACTTTTATTTCTGGATTCACACCTGAATTTGAGTAAGACTAAATTTTGGGAAGCTGAATAATTTATGCTGAAAACTGTGTAACCTAAAGTATTTGCACCATATTTGTCATTTCAAAAAAGCTAATACAAAGGGAGATTAGTAAAGCTGAAAAGCGACTTTGTATGAAGCTCAGTTTCTTGAACTCCTGTATGAATATTTAGAAAAAATAATTTCTATCACCTTAGAGGTAAATTCCTAGATCAATACATGAGAAACCCACAGCCTTGCTTGTCCCTCAGTTTAAGAAAAAAACTTTAAGTTTAATTTTAACAGATAAAACTGCCAAACACTGGGTGTTCTATGTCATTATTTGGCTAAGGAATACCTCGGTAATAAGAAATTCATTTCCCAATACATCCTTGGAAAGCTATGAAATAATGCTGCTCTACCTCACACTGCTACTTTACAAGCATTGACCAGTCAATTTACAAGTAATCTATGCCTTCAACAGCTATCATACAACATTCAAGAGCGAGAACATGTTCATTTTAGTAATCTTTTGTAGCCATACAAGATACTCTGAACATGAGACATTAATTCTATTACTGTACTGTGTCTGTATGCTGTATTAAAAAAAAGTACCATTTACTGTGTTGCTGGATGACACTAATGACAGTTTCATGCCATCAAATATAAATTCCCACAAAAATTATTAAACCAATGATATACATTTAATAAAGTTTTGCATACAGTATATGAAAATATAGAAATGGCTTTTCTGGCAGTATCAACTTAAATAAAGTGATAAGGGTGACACTGTTGAGTGGGAGTAAAGATAAGAGAGACACATGAATATTAGAAGTCTAAAAATTTGGACTGTCATAAGGATTTGCTTCAGAAGAGCAATGCCCTGGGATCATCCCTGCATTTTTCTGTGATACACTGATATTTCTGCAGTCATACATTTCTTCTTCCAACTTAACAATATCTTCCTCTTCATCTAGAGAACCAAGTTGGTCCTCTTTTCCTTCTCTAATCTGTACAATTGGTTCCTCTATGAGATGAGATGACCCTTCACCTTCATGGTCTACTGGTTGTGAAAGATCTTGCATGATGTACTGTGAATCTTGCAGTATTTTAATTTTCAAGCTTTTAACTGGATGTTTTTTCATCTTGTGAGTTTTTAAGTTAGTTTTCTGTCTAAAAGCTGCTGGGCATTCAGGGCACTTAAATGGCCGATCATCTGAGTGAGTCTGTTCGTGGGCTTTGAGATTTGACCGCTGGGCAAAATTGGCCCCACACATAGTACAATGAAAAGGCTTTTCACCTGTGTGGAGACGCATGTGTATCTTAAGATTAGACATCATAGTGAACTTGGCACCACATTCTTCACAAATAAATGGACGTATGGCTTCTAATTTCTTTTTACGTCCTCTTCTACTTGGCATCCCGTCATTCGAGTGTAATTTTAATTTGTGTGATTTCAAGTTAGATTTTTGTGCAAATGCTGATCCACACTCTTCACATACATGAGGCCGCTCACCTGTATGAATTTTCACATGCGTTTTTAAATTTGACAACTGACGAAACCTTGCACCACACTGATCACAAGCATATGGCCTTTCATTTGTATGAATGCGTTTGTGGTTTCGCAAGTGTGTAGACTGCACAAATGAGGCACCACATTCTTCACATTTAAAAGGTCTCTCTCCTGAATGAATCAACTTGTGGCTCTTCAAGTTTGACTGCTGTGAGAATCTTGTAAAACAAATATCACATTCATAAGGTTTTTCCCCAGTGTGAATCTTCTGATGCGTACGCAAGTTAGAAATTTGTGTAAAGGTGGCACTACACTCTTCACATGTGTATGGCCGCTCTCCAGTATGAATACGCATATGCGTTTTTAAATTTGACTGCTGGGTGAACGTAGCCCTACAAACGTCACACGTGTAAGGTTTTTCACCCGTGTGGCGCCAGGTGTGATTCTTAAGCTGTGTCCCATTTTTAAATTCCTGACCACATAATTGACACTTGTAAGCTTTAGCCTGCCTCCCCTTTGGCATTTTGGGTCGCACCAAAATATCTGAGTTGGCTGAAACAGTGGCTTGAGGCACAATGTTAATGTCAGGTCTATTTACATTTCTTAATGGATCTTCACGACTATATAAATCCTGGCTGGCACAGTCACCGTCATAATGACTCAAGTCTGATGACACTCCTACACTTCCACTCTCATTCCTTCCTCTACCACTGAGCTGTGTCAAGTCTCCATCAGTATTGAGAGTGTCAGTTAAGGACTCTCTCCGTGCTACAGAAGTTTCGTCAAAATAGTGGCGCTTAAAATTAGGACTATTTTCTTCAGAATATTGTTGAAATGATGATGAAAATGGTACAGGAAATACATGGGACCCCACAACAGAACTTGAGCTCTTGCTTTTAGTTGCCTGTAAAGAAAGCTGCACTACATCACTTACAGTAGTGGAATAAGTACTCTTGCCATAGTGCACAGGTTCACTCTCAGCTCTAGAGGCTGATGACCTGTTTGTATTAAGTGGTAATTTTTCCAAAGAAGATAGTACCCTTGATGGATGACTTTCCATCCTTGGAGATTCTAAATTCATATGCGGAGACAAGCTGTAGAGAACTCGATCACCCTGTGATTGACGTTGAGCAGCACCGAGAGGTCGATCACCAGTAACAGATGGTAAACTGATATCCCCAGTAGACCTCGGTGCCTCTGTGGCTAGTGACTGAGAACTGCCTCCAGCAGCGGTGTATGTTGCACGATAAGTTTCAGGCTCTCCAGCAGCCAGCCGATATGCTTCAGTCATGTACCTGTGTGCTTCTTGTGCTGAACCAGGCATTAATTTTCCTCCAGGAAACACAACATTGTGCCCTAATGCCATTAGTGATGCGCCGTGTCCCACAAATCCAGGTCCTGGGCTTGATGTGTTTGGGTACTGAGGAGTGGTTCCAACTTGATGGTTAGCATTGCTAAGGTCCTGGCGAAGCACTGAAGGTATCATTGCTCGACCTTCTATTGGATCAGCAGGAGTACTGCTGCGGCTGCCTCCACTCATCTGAAAATATTTAATATTTTGTTAGCAATATCTTTGTATTTAAATGAGTAATAAAAAATTTATTGTACATTTAAGTACCATATCAAATAATGACAATACAGTATTATCTAACTTATAATAATAAAAGCAACTTCAAAATAAGAAATATCTGGAGTTCCAGCAGTTTAAAAAGAAAACTGAATATTAATGGCATTAAGAAACTAACAGCCACAATGATGAAAGACTAAAGAAAGATGCATAAACGGTAGGTACCATACCAAATAGTGGAACAAATAGTGAATATTAAGGGGAAGTAATAATAGTGCAATAGAAGCTTTAAGGGAATGGGTAAATCACGCAAATAGAGATGAGTTAGTGAATGAGTTTTAATGTGTTGGAATACATCAGTAAAATATTTCTGGAGAATGAACTGTATACAGTAGAGATGATATTTAGTTATATTATGTCTATACCTCTGATACTCTTTTTCCTAGTAACTCCCCTTGAGGGAGCTGAAAAGACAAAAGGCAGAAGCCTACTGGCAACTGCATCTAAATATGTCTTCAAAGACTCCTCTAAATCAGTGGTTCTCAACCTTGTTTGCCCTCATACACCCCTTTCACCATATGTCAGAATGTCATTCCCCCTCCTTCCCAAGATTGTCTGCCTCAAAAAGTGCATTCCAAATAATATGCATATAATACTGAAAATCCTTTATTTTTTCCATATTAGTATCAGTTCCCCCCCCCCCCTGAAAACCTGAGGGGGGGAAATTCCCCCCCGGTTGAGAACCCCTGCTCTAAATCTTCTCATGAAATCTTACCCACACATCCCTATGTTCACTCTTCAGGATGCTGGCACTTTTTTTTTTCACCTCCATACACTTTTAATAAATCTTTTACCCCTCTAACTTGTCACTTCCCTAAATCACCTCAGAATGCTCCTTATCCATACTATGACCCTAAAACCAATATCTATGGCTTCTAAGCCATGTAAGATCTCCTATACACTTCCCTATAGCTTTTATTCCTATATCTTCTACTACTACAAGCATCCTTCATATACTATAGTTCATAAATGATTTTTCATAAGATTTGTAAGCTGCTAAGGGTGAATACAGCACTCGCCTCCTGTCTTAAAGGTTGCTGGTTCATACCCTGGGTGCCCTAGTACATCTAGCTGTGAGCAAGTCTTAACATTACAACTGGGGAAGTTGTAATTCACAACTAAAAAAGACAAGATGCAGAATAATAAGAGGATAGTAATAATTTTAAGACAACTGTATAAGACAATTAATGGGGCCAATGCTTCAAAACTGTTTAAATTTTGATGGCAGACATTTAATTGTGTTATGCTAAATAGTAAAGAAAATCATCCTGTTCATATTACCAGTACAGTACAGTATACCTAAAAAATACAGCACCAAACTTAAATAATATACTCGTACTGCATTTAATATAACAAATTTAATTACAGTAGGAGTTTAAATTGGGAACCTTGGCACACTTTTGATCTGAGAAGGTGGTTCAAGAACAAGATATACAGAACAACATTTGTTTAAACTATTTGTACTTTAGTTTGTGTTTCAACAACTGATCTGTAGGATTTATCATAGAGTTACAACAGGGGTTTAAGAAGTTCACACCTGGTGTTCTAAGTTTGCACAATACTATTTGCAGAACCTGAGTGTGTATGTGTACAGTAGATGTTTATACTATATCTATTGGTCTAAATATCAGTGTTAAGCCAACTCTGAACCCCTCAACGTATTAAAACAATCAGATGTGTAAGGGAGATATAACTCCCACACACACACCTTACTTTTTGTACGGAAACAATGAACATCATCTTCTTTACAACACACAGGTTCCAAAAACAGTATTGCACCAACTCTGAACCTCAAATTCTTGATATGATCTTTCAAACTACAGTACTGTACATTGCTGGAGAAAAACACAAAAACTCCCAAAAGTGAGCCAAAGTTGCCCAGCCTCTTAAATATGGAACAAAATTATGGGTATGCTTCAAGAAGCAGTTGGCACAACTGATGCTCAGATCATCTTGCTGGTGTAATTTCCTCTTCTGTATTGCTTTGACAATACCCAGTATGAAGTGTGATATACTGTATATGTTAACATGGAATATGATCCTAAAACCAGTTGCTTCTTGAAACAGACCCTCACAAGGAAGAATTGGCTTACCTTTACTTGATTTTATTGAGCCAGGCGAATGACACAAAAATGTCTTCATGTGCATGGGAGTCATTTTCCTCTTCCATACATTGCAGACACCAAAATTTTGGAAGAAAAAAAGTTCGAGATATTTCTGATTAAGAATTTTGTGTAGGATATAAAAAATGAGCTCTGTGATAGCAGTAAAACAGTCTGTTGTTCCCTGCCCGGGTCTGTTTCACGAAGCCATCACCTAGGGCTGCACCTCTATCATACCAAGTCGTGCTCCTGCAACGCTGTAGTCACTACCATGGCAATGCTAGAACTAGCTTCCATCTCCAATTCCGATATGATACATAAAATAACTGAGAAATTAGATTAAACGTAGAAGTAATATCCACGATTAACAAGCTGAAAGAAGATTACAGAGGTAACATGGCAAATGCTACCAACAATATAAACCAAACCACACATTAAGCACTATATAATCAAGCAAAAATTCACTGGTTCAACAGCAATAAATCATGGTACTGGTACATTACACTGAAATACACCATATTATTAAGGAATAATTGCTCCAGATACCTTGGTGTGCGGATTAGTGGATGTCAGGTTTATGACCTGACCTCATGCTTAGTAAGGTTACCCTGTGTACTTAAGCCTCTCTCTGTCCATGTAATTCAGATGCCTCTGAAGATGTCTTGAATAAAGACGAAAGCTAAGCTGCTCCATTGTTTCCCTTTTCCCTGTGATTTTATCAAGATTTATCTTATCCACATTTTCATTGTGGATCTACATTATATATATATATATATATATATATATATATATATATATATATATATATATATATATATATATATATATATATATATATATATATATATATATATATATATATATATATATATATATATACAAAATGGGGAAGGTTAAATAAAACAATCTTATGAAATGAACCACCCTTACTGAATACTGTACAGTGGTCTTATAAGATTTGCTATAGGCCTACTGAGAACTAAGACACTTGAGTATGTAAGCAGGCTGTGGCTGATCAGGTGTTGCCACATTTGTCAGGTTTATTTATTTATTGATTCAGTATTATATTCTCATATAATTGGCCTCTTATGGTTCATCAAGATTAATATAACATCTTCAGTAATAGAGAAAAAATACAATACTGTGTGTAATTTGTAATATTACTTGAAATAAAAGGATAAGCTGTATCAGATGGTTATTCATTGAAGATGCATTTGAGTGAGCTTTCAGTAGACCAGCTTACTAAAGGGGTTACCATAACACACTGTATAGTATTGATATGAAGATACCTTCTTAAAAATGTTAATTACTACCTTTGAGTGTTATATGATGACTCAGTTTGGCTACTTGTACACTTAGACAAGTGATTGATATATAAACCAGGCTATATGCAGATACATAATATTACTTATTAAGTGATGATAAATACACTACAATAGTATTTATTAAGTGGTGACAAATGAGTATGAAATGACTCGTGTTCAGTGTGGGAGTCTTTTTTCAGGAAAGCTGATTCTTTTAGGATAATATTTTAGAAGCCTGGCACTACATGATCCAAAATTATATGAGAATTGTGGTGGAATTGCATAAAGAAGTGTTAAAAGAATCTTGAGAGAGATAGGGGAAAGGAGTCACCCACCCATGCCCCCCCCCACCCCTCTGCCAGCTGCTCCCAGATAAACTTTCATCTTCCACATACGATATACAGTGGGGTATGCTATAACGAACGGATCCTACTACGAATATTCCTATAACGAACGGTTTTACCTATAAAATTGAGAATGCTTTAACGAACGCAACTCCTACAACGAACGCGGATGAATACCGGACTATTTCGCCTGGCGCATGAATATTGTTGTACCACGACCCACAGCAAGAGCGTCAGGCGCCATCTTTGTCTCATTGTGTAGCCAGTGCACCACTGTTATTGTTGAAATTTCGTCTTTTGATGTGGAAATAGAGTTATTTGTATAAATATTTTGTTATACAAGTGTACAATTGTGACAATGAATCGTCCAAAGCGAGTGAGAAAGCTCATAACTCTTGAAACTAAGAAAGAAATCATAAAGAAACGCGAGGATGGAACAAGCATTGCGAAACTTAGTGATGAGTATGGGATGGCTAAATCGACTATATGTACGATTTTAAAGAATAAAGAGGAGTTGAAAACAGTGCAAGTGGCTAAGGGAATCTCTAGACTTAGCAAAGCAAGGTGTAATGTGATTGAGGAGATGGAAAATTTACTCTTAGTGTGGATAAAGGAGAAAGAAATGGCAGGTGATAGCATTAGTGAAGCTATAATTTGTGAGACGGCCAGACAATTGTTTGAGGACCTTAAAGCCAAGACTCCCAGTGCAAGTGATAGTGATGTGCCAGTGTTTATGGGTACCAAGGGGTGGTTTACTGGTTTCAGAAGGAGAAATAAAATACATAGTGTTGTGAGACATGGTGATGCTGCTAGTGCCGATAAGGAAGCAGCTAAGGAACCCCATGACTTTTTTTGAATATTATTAAAGAGGGAGGCTTTGTTTCTCAGCAGGTATTCAACTGTGATGAAACTGGACTATTTTGGAAAAAAATGCCTCGCCGTACATACATTACCAAGGAGGAAACTTCTGTCCCTGGCCATAAGCCAATGAAAGACAGGCTTACCCTCCTTCTTTGTGCTAATGCTTCTGGTGACTGCAAAATAAAGCCACTCCTTGTGTACCATGCAGAAAACCCCAGAGCTTTAAAAAACACTAGGAAGACCCGCCTTGGTGTTATGTGGCGGTCAAACCCAAAGGCTTGGGTGACCAGGAATTTATTCTC